AGAATCAAGTCAATGATTTGAAATGCGAGGAAGCAAAAAACACCCAACCGGAAAAGCAAAATGAAAAAAGAATCCAAAAATGCGAGGATAGTGTAAGGAGCCTCTGGGACAGCTTCAAGCGTACCAACATCAGAATTATAGGGGTGCCAGAAGATGAGAGAGAGCAAGATATTGAAAACCTATTTGAAGAAATAATGACAGAAAACTTCCCCCACCTGGTGAAAGAAATGGACTTACAGGTCCAAGAAGTGCGGAGAACCCCAAACAAAAGGAATCCAAAGAGGACCACACCAAGACACATCATCATTAAAATGCCAAGAGCAAAAGATAAAGAGAGAATCTTAAAAACAGCAAGAGAAAGAAACTCAGTTACCTACAAGGGAACACCCATACGACTGTCAGCTGATTTCTCAACAGAAACTTTGCAGGCCAGAAGGGAGTGGCAAGAAATATTCAAAGTGATGAATACCAAGAACCTACAACCAAGATTACTTTATCCAGCAAAGCTATCATTCAGAATTGAAGGTCAGATAAAGAGCTTCACAGATAAGGAAAAGCTAAAGGAGTTCATCACCACCAAACCAGGATTATATGAAATGCTGAAAGGTATCCTTTAAGAAGAGGAAGAGGAAGAAAAAGGTAAAGATACAAATTATGAACAACAAATATGCATCTATCAACAAGTGAATCTAAGAATCAAGTGAATAAATAATCTGATGAGCAGAATGAACTGTTGATTATAATAGAATCAGGGACATAGAAAGGGAATGGACTGACTATTCTTGGGGGGGAAGGGGTGTGGGAGATGCAGGAAGAGACTGGACAAAAATCGTGCACCTATGGATGAGGACAGTGGGTGGGGAGTGAGGGCAGAGGGTGGGGCGGGAACTGGGAGGAGGGGAGTTATGGGGGGAAAAAAAAGAGGAACAAATGTAATAATCTGAACAATAAAGATTTAATTTAAAAAAAAAAATAAATAAAAAATAAAATGTCCATACTACCCAAGGTAATCTACAGATTCAATGCAATCCCTATTAAAATACCAACAGCATATTTCACAGATCTAGAACAAATACTCCAAAAATGTATATGTAATTTTAAAAAATCCTGAATAGCTGCATCAATCTTGAGGAAGAAAAACAAAGTTGAAGGAATCACAATATCAGATTTCAAGTTATACTACAAAGCCACTGTAATCAAAATAGCCTTATATTGGTACAAGAACAGACATATAGATCGATGGAACAGAACAGAGACCCTAGAAATCAACCCAAGCCATTATGCTCAATTAATATTTGACAAAGGAGGCAAGAGCATACAATAGAGTCAAGATAGTCTCTTCAATAAACGGTGTTTATTGGACAGATACATGAAAGAAAGAAAGAAAGAAAGAAAGAAAGAAAGAAAGAAAGAAAGAAAGAAAGAAAGAAAGAAGAAAGAAAGAAAGGAAGGAAGGAAGGAAGGAAGGAAGGAAGGAAGGAAGGAAGGAAGGAAGAAAGAAAGGAAGAAAGAAAGAAAGAAAGAAAGAAAGAAAGAAAGAAAGAAAGAAAGAAAAGAAAGAAAGAAAGAAAAAAGAAGGAAGGAAGGAAGAAAGAAAGAAAGAAAGAAAGAAAGAAAGAAAGAAAGAAAGAAAGAAAGAAAGAAACAAGAATAAACTCAAAGTGGATAAAAGACTTAAATGTAAGTCATAAAACCATAAAAATCCTAGGAGAAACCATGGGCAGAAAAATCTCAGACAGCTCTCATAGCAATATGTTTACAGATACATCTCCTAGGGCAGTGGTTGGCAAACTGCGGCTCGCGAGACACATGCAGCTCTTTGGCCCCTTGAGTGTGGCCATGAAGTTTCAATTGCACTGTACGTGCACGCCTGCACATGGTATTTTGTGGAAGAGCCACACTCAAGGGGCCGCAGTTTGCCGACCACTGTCCTAGGGCAAAGGAAACTAAGGAGAAAATAAAGAAATGGGACTACATCAAAATAAAAAGCTTCTGCACAGCAAAAGAAACCATCAACCAAACAAAAAGGGAGCCCACTGTATGGGAGAACATATTTGGCACTGATACATCTGATAAAGGATTAATATCCAAAATATATAAGGAACTCATACAACTTAACGAAAGGAAGACAAACAATCCAATTAAAAAATGGCCAAAGGACCTAAATAAACAATTCTCCAATGAGGACATACAGATGGCCAAGACATATGAAAAAAATGCTCAAAGTCACTGACCATCAGAGAGATGCAAATTAAAATGACCATGAGGTATCACCTCATACCTGTGAGCATGGCTACTATTGACAAATCAACAAATGACACGTGCTGATGAGAATATGGAGAAAAGGGAACCCTAGTACACTGCTCGTGGGAATGCAGATTTATGTGCACTGATCACCAGGGAGCAGACGCTCACACAGGAGCTGCCCCTTGATGGTCAGTGTGCTCCCACAGGGGGAGCACCACTCAGCCAGATATGAGGCTCACGGCTGAGGCTCACGGCTGGCAAGCACAGTGGCAGTGGCAGGAGCCTCTCCCGCCTCTACTGCAGGCAGGCAGTAAGGGGTGAGGCATCCCAGACTGCGAGAGCCCTGGACTGCAGGGGGGATGTCTGCCTGCCGGCTTAGGCCCGATTCCAGAATTGGGCCTAAGCCGGCAGGCAGACATCCCCCAAGGGGTCCCAGATTGCGAGAGGGTGCAGGCCAGGCTGAGGGTACCCCCTTGCCCCATGCATGAATTTTGTGCATTGGGCCTCTAGTAATTACATAAAAGAGAACATGGCTACTAAATGTATATATCTTGGTCTTAGAGAGGATTTAAGAATTTGACCCCAAAGGTAAGGGAAGTAAAAGAAAAAATAAATGGGATTAGCCCAGCCAGTGTGACTCAGTGGTTGCGTATTAACCTATGAACCAGGAGGTCATAGTTCAATTCCTAGTCACACACATGTCCAGGTTGCAGTTGTGGGCTTGATCCCCAGTAGGGGGCATGCAGGAGGCAGCCAATCAACGATTCTCTCTCATCATTGATGTTTCTATCTCTCTCTCCCTCTCTCTTCCTCTCTGAAATCAATTAAAATATATTAAAAAATAAATAAATAAACAAATAGGACTATGTCAAGCTAAAAAGCTTCTGCACAGAAAAAAAAAATCATCAACAACAACATCAACAAAAAGCAATCATCCAAATGGGAGAAAATACTTGATATTTGCAAACAACAGCTCTGGCAAGGGGTTAATATACAAAATATATAAAGAACTCATACATCTTAACAACAAGAAAAACAAGCAACTAATTAGAAAATGGGCAAAGGACCTGAACAAACACTTCTTCCAAGAAGACTTACAAATGGCCAACATATATATGAAAGATGCTTAACTTCACTTGGTATTAGGGAAATGCAAATCAAAACTACAATGAGATACTGACTCAGATCTGTTGGAATGGTTATTATCAACCAGACAAGCGATAACAAGTCTTGGAGAGGTTGTGAGGGAAAAGAAACCCTCATTTACTGCTGGTGGGATATAAACTGGTACAGCCGTTATGGAAAATAGTATGGTAGCTCTTCAAAAATTAAGAATAGAGTGACTATATGACCCAGAAATCCCACTTGTGGGCATCTAGTTGAAAATTTTAAAAGCCTTTATGCACAAAGATATGTGCACCCCAATGCTCTTTGCAGAATTATTCACAGTGGCCAAGACATGGAAATAACCAAAGTGTCCTTCAAAAGATGATTGGATAAAGATATATAATGGAATACTACTCAGCCATAAATAATGATGAAATACTGCCATTGCGACTACATGGATGGCTCTTAAGAATATAATGATAAGCAAAGTAAGTCAGACAAAAAGTCAAGAACCATATGATTTTACTCATATGTAGGATATAAAACTGAAGGTAACAAATTAACTAACAAACAAGCAAAGACTCATTGACACAGACAATATTATGGTGGCTACCAGAAAGAAAGGGGGATAGAGGATATTGATGGGTAAAAGGGATTGAGTGTATGGCAATGGAAGGAGATGTGGTGGGCATGCAATGCAATATACAGGTGATGTAGCATAGAATTGTACACCTGAAACCTATATGATTTTATTAACCAATGTCATCCCAATACATTTAATTTTAAAAAATCACAATATTCAAGAGTGTCATACAATTAATAACTAAAAGGAAAGCTTGTTTCTGAACACATGAAATTAATTAGTGTAAATCACAACCATTTTTTCAGATTAAAAGCTAGGATATTCCTAGCATTGAGTTTGAGGGAGGATGGAAAAGGCATTGATTACATTGCATTTGAGATTGACAGAAATCACAACATCCAATCCTCTGTAATTTCTTTTATTTAAATGAGTTTCATTTTTATCTTATTCTAAAACACCTCCTGAGTATTAAAATAAAATACAATTTTTGAAAATAAATACTTCACTATGTTAGTGATTCAAAAGGAGGCATATCAGAATCCTTGTGTTGGGAAGAGATGCCACAGAAATGTGCATGCCTTGGTTAGGCAGAAAATGATTTTTTTTTAATTCTAAAAAACTAGTGTCTTGCAAAAATACAATCATAAACTCAGTCAGACACCTCAAACCCAAATTTTAATAGAGAAACTTAGTTATAAACTACCTCCAAAGAGCCCATGAGGTCTAAGAGAATGCAAACACTGGCTGAGAATTCAGGATTTATCAAGCAGGCATCAGAGGTTATATTTGTCAAAAAGGTAAAAATAATGTATTTCATGAAACTACTGGAGAAAGGTGAAAGGAGAAATCTCTTCCTTGAAGAAATCACTGTAATCTTATATTATTCTTTTGAAACAGCAAATGTCATTCATCTAAATAAAAATTTAACAACATAGAGCAGAATTGTTACAGAATGAGAGCTCAGATCTCTTTTAGGGAAAGATAACTAACAAAGGTAGGTAGCCTTTTATGAGGAGCCCTTAGCAGAACCCATGGATAAAGAGAAAGCTATGCCCCAGAATACCTCAAAGTCCTGAATCCAGAGTCAGCCTCTTTTGTGACTATTAAGGATGAGACTCAGTTGAATTAATTAAAACCTGAAGGTTGCTCTTCAGTTTTCCAGCAGTCAAGGAATCCAGAATGAGTTGTCCTTTTATTAAATGGCTCCCCTGAATATCTTCTAAGCATTCATATGTTTTGCCAGCCCACCAGAGACTGGACTTCTTACTCTCCCTTGTGAGCTTTATATTTTCTCACTTGAGACACTTCAGACTGCCTGCTACTAAAACAGAGAACTGATTGTTCAGGTTTATCTGCCCTGGGGCCCTGAAACTCATCACCAACTTCTCTGGAAATACCAGTCTTAGCACAATTTGCATTTCCCACCATTCGCAATAGAGTCTGACTGGGAACATTTGCGTTTCATTTTTAATGCTATTGTAATTAAATGTAAGAATGCAATGATGGCACTTTCTGCCATGAGAACAGCATATCACAGATAGTAATTTCTCCTTCAGCCTGGATTTAGGAAGGTAGACACATGGAGCAGTTCTAAATCTTTCCCAAATATTGTAATTCATCCTATTTCTGCTGGGCCACAATAATCACAGACAGGATAAAGTAACCTAGAGCTGCCTGCAGATTCTTATATAAGAAGTATGAACATGTTATTGTAAGTCCCTAAAATTTGTAGTAATTTGTTTTGCAGCATTATTGTAACAATAGTTAACAAATGTATCTTTTTTAAAAAATATGGCCCTAACCGGTTTGGCTCAGTAGATAGAGCATTGGCCTGCGGACTGAAAGGTCCCAGGTTTGATTCCGGTCAAGGACATGTACCTTGGTTGCAGGCACATCCCCAGTAGGAGGTGTGCAGGAGGCAGTTGATCAATGTTTCTCTCTCATCGGTGTTTCTAACTCTCTATCCTTCTCCCTTCCTCTCTGTAAAAATATCAATAAAAATATAAAAAAATATATACGAAACCAGTATGGAATCTTAATGTCTATTGCTTGGATTTTTGAGGCAAGACATTTTACAGATCTTAAGAAAAACTTTATCAAACTCAGTAAATAGGAGTGTTTATCTCCTATTTTCAGTTCTTTTTATCTATCCTTTTGTTCTATAAGTGGCATTTATATGTGGTTATGGTCCATCTTACAAATTAAGTTTCCAATCTACTGTGCAGACTGCACCACAAATAAGTATGTACTCTAACATCTTAAATGATGCTGATAACAAATGTTGGAACAATGTGTAATGAATTCAACAATTAAGAAAAAGATGCTTCTTTGAAATATTAATGAACTCTTCCCAGAGTATAAGAAACCTAAAATAATCTTTGAAAGGCAAGAAAAAGTTTCCATGATGATGGAAGACCTAATAGACATAACCAGAGAAAATATATTAGGACAAGTTAGCTGAAACAGTGCAAGAACTATGTAGTTAGACATTGAATTTGAAATGTAAAGCTAAGGACTTTTTAAAGAAAACATTATAGCTATATTCCCTGTACCTTACATTTACCCATCTATTTATTTTCTCATTGACTTAAAAAACATACATCTCCTTATTTTACTCATTTATTTAACAAATATTTATTTAATGAAAACTATGCTAGGTTCTGTTTTAGTAAATAAAACACAAACATAACAGTTTCTTTTCTTGTAGATTTGTAATTATTGAAAGAAAAATAGATATTGAAAAGATAATTACACAATTTTAATTTAAAATGAATTGACCAACAAAATAAGACCTGAAGCACGGAGGCATGGAACAGACTCATATACCTCATTGTGGGGATGAGGGAAAGAGAAGAGATAAACCAAAGAACTCATATACTTATATGCATAGCCTATGGACACTGGCAATAAGTGAAGACCTGGGGGAGGGGCAGGAGCAGGGAGGAGGGGGATATCCAATGAGAGATATCTGTAATACTATCAACAATAAAAAATTTTATTTATAAAATTAAAAATATATATTTTATATACTTGAATAGTTGGCTAACTACATAATGTTCATAAAATATTAATATTTTAAAGATAAATTACATTTATATTAATTTATAGACTCAATATAGCTCAAATTAATGCTAAGAGAATATTAGAAACAATAGGATAGTTTAATCTCAAAATTATTTGAAAGAATTAATGTTTACTAATAGCTAAGATGATTATAAAACAATGGGGAGAAGTTTTACTTTTAATTCACTCTACTGGATTTTAATAAAGCCATAGTAAAAGAAAACACACACACACACACACACACACACACACACACACACACACACACAATGGTCTTGGTTCTAGAAGAAATGGAATAGCGAGTCAAAAAACTAGCTATGGATATATATATACTGAGTGGCCAGATTATTATGACCACCCCATCAGTACAATGGAGTGAATTAGTTATGCAAATAATAATAATAATAATAAAACCTTGAGAGTATTTGCTTAGGAAGTTTTCAATATTCAGTATTTTTGGAAGTGTCAATGAAGTATTGATGGGGTGGTCATAATAATCTGGCCAGTCATAATAATCTGGCCACTCAGTGTATATATGGTATAAGCTGGTCTTTCTTCATTTGTTCACTCAGATCCATTCTCACCCTTTTTTTCCTGACCTCTACCAACTCAATCATCTGGGGTCCCTTTCTTTCTTGCCTAGGGGGGGGTCATGGGCAGGAAACTGAAGACTGGGAAGAGAAAGAGGCCAAACTATCAACTGCCCCCTGGTGGTCAGTGCACGTCATAGCAAGTGGTTGACCAGTCAGCAGGGCAGATGCTCCAAACAGTAGGTTAGCTTGCTGGGGTCCAGTTGATCAGGACTGAGCGAGATTCATCGGACACACCCTGGAGCCCTCCTGTGGTCCGTCCCAGCCTGATCATACACTAGTGGGGTCCCTTGGCCTGGCCTGCACCCTCTCACTATCGGGACCTCTCGGGGGATGTCGGAGAGCCTGTTTCAGCCCTATCCCACAGGCCATTTCCCTTAGGAGGGTGCCAGATACAGGGCTCATGGCTGGCGAGTGCTGCTGTGACAGTGTGAGCCTCTCCTGATCAGAACTGATTGGGTGTGAGCCCATGGCAGGCACAGTGGGGCTGGAATGAGCAGTAGCGGTAGATAGGAGCTGCAGGTGGCGTTGGACTGTGGGTTTCAGCCCGATCCTCAAAGGCCACCAGGGGGCCCCACCTGTGCACGAATTCTTGCACAGGGCTTCTAGTATATAAAGAAAAACTCAGGCTAGTGTCTTGTGACATTGGAATGAAAAGTATTTCTTACTAAATTCCCAAAGTGATGTATTTTAAAAATTTTTTTTAATTTTAATATATTTTTTATTGATTAAGATATTACATATGTGTCCTTGTCCCCACGTTACCCTCTACCCCCCACCCCCTTACTCCCGCTCATGCCCTCACCCCCCCCCCCCCGTTGTCCATGTCCATTGATTAGGCCTATATGCTTGCATATAAGTCCTTTGGTTGATCTTTCCCCCTTACCCCCACCCTCCCCTACCTTCCCTCCAAGTCCCGACAGTCCAATCAATGCCTCTCCGTCTCTGGATCAGTCCTTGTTCATCAGCTTATGTTGTTCATTATATTCCACAAATGAGTGAGATCATGTGGTATTTATCCACTCTCCAGTTCCATCCATGCTGTGGCAAATGGTAAGAGTTCCTTTTTCTTCTTCCTCTTCTTAAAGAATACCTTTCAGCATTTCATATAATGCTGGTTTGGTGGTGATGAACTCCTTTAGCTTTTTCTTATCCCTGAAGCTCTTTATCTGACCTTCTATTCTGAATGATAGCTTTGCTGGATAAAGTAATCTTGGTTGCAGGTTCTTGCTATTCATCACTTTGAATATTTCTTGCCAGTCTCTTCTGGCCTGCATGGTTTCTGTTGAGAAATCAGCTGACAGTCGTATGGGTACTCCCTTGTAGGTAACTGACTGTCTTTCTCTTGCTGCTTTTAAGATTCTCTCTTTATCTTTTGCTCTTGGCATTTTAATTATAATGTGTCTTGGTGTGGTACTCCTTGGATTCCTTTTGTTTGGGGTTCTCTGCGCTTCCTGGACTTGTAAGTCCATTTCTTTCACCAGGTAGGGGAAGTTTTCTGTCATTATTTCTTCAAAAAGGTTTTCAATATCTTGCCATCTCTCTCCTTCTGGTACCCCTATAATTCTGATGTTGGTACGCTTGAAGTTGTCCCAGAGGTTCCTTACACTATCTTCATATTTTTGGAATCTCTTTTCTTTTTTCTTTTTCGGTTGGGTATTTTTTGTTTCTTTGTATTTCAAATCTTTGACTTGATTCTTGGGATCCTCTTGTCTGCTGCTGGATCTCTGTAAATTATTCTTTATTTCAGTCAGTGTATGCTTAATTTCTAGTTGGTCCTTTTTCATGTCCTCCATGGTCTCCCTATACTTATTGAGGGATTCATTAAATTTATCGGCGGTTTCCATAAAATTCTTGAAAAACCTTATAAACGTGGCCTTGAACTCTATATCCAATCGTTTGCTTTCCTCCATTTCTGCCATTTGTGACCTGTTTCTTTGTCTCCGCATTTTGGCAGCTTCCCTGTGTTGATAGAGTGGCCCTGTGCGCCAGGTGTCCTGTAGGGCCCAGTAGCTCAGCCTCCCCAGTTACCTGGGGTGGACACTCTTGGTGCCTTGGTTGTTGTAGAATCACTGGGAGGAATTGACCTCCAGGCCAATTGGCTGTGAGAATCAGCTGTGTCTAAAGTGGGAGAACTTCTGTGCTGAAGACACCCTTCTGGGGCAAGACTTGCTTCAGTGGGGCTTTGGTGCTCACTGAGTCTGCTCCCTGAGTGTGTCCCTTATGGATCTGAGGAGTTGCAGTCTGGATGGACCCCCTCTGACCACTGGGTACAGTGGCTCCTGGATCTAAGGAGGTGCTAATTCAGCCTCTGCCTGAGGCCACACAGCAGGAGCCATGAAGAGGCTCAGCTGTGAAGCAATGCAAGCCGCTGCGGGGCCTTGGGCCTTCTCTTGGAAGTTCCGGGTCTGCCTGGTTCGGCTGCAGTTAGGTACATTCACATGCAAAAGCCTCTGCCGCAGCCTGGGTGGGGCGGGGTCTCAGGGAGTCAAAGGGCGGAGAAAGCAGCTATGGCCGATTCTCCGCCCGGAGTCGCGCGTCTCAGTGTCCCGGTAACGGCTGCAAGCACCTCTGAGGGAAAGCCGCCCTCAAGTTCGCCCGCTGCCGGACAGACCAGCCTCTCCCCGTATGAGCCCTGGGTCCCCAGAGACTTCCCGGA